TAAAGGGGGGAAGCGTGTATGGTTACGTGCATGCGTATGTCAATATGGCACGCACGCTCACAGAAGTAGGTACCCCTGCGCGCGCGCCCGAGCACACGAAGCGCAGTGAAACAAGCACACGCTAATCCGAAAGCCCGAATCCCGCCACCCGCGCATGCTTCCTCCTGCCTTTCCTCATGACATACAGGTGAGGCGAGTGGGGCGAGTCCATACTTGGGCCGAGGTCACCCCTGGGGGAAGGGTGCGTGTGTGTACTGTGGCCTGACCTTGGGACCGGCATGCCAAGGGGGATGACAGACCGAGGCACCGGCGTGCGAGTGACGCCAGGGCGCGGGAGGGAGCTGTCAGATGCGGCGTTCGGGGGCTGCGCGTTCGTGGAGCCGGCGTTGCTGTAATTATCGTTTTTTTCTTTATCAATCTTATTATTTCATTATATTTGTCGAAGGAGAGGAGTGCGTTTGGGGGTGGCGTCGACGGCCTTTGTCCTTTCCCCGCGCCACGTGCTTGGAGACGGCCACCGACAGCGTGGTCTGCTCGGACTGCGCTGTTGCCATGGTGAGGCACTAATTAGCCCTGAGGCTTTTTGTTGACTCGACCAGGCACGTTTTGTTTTACGTCTAGATGCGTGACTTGTTCGGTTGATGTGTTATTGTAAGTTATATTGTGGGCTTTTCCTTGTGGATAATGATATCCCCTCCCGTATGTATTCTCCTTTGATCATTTTTTTCTATTTTGTGTCCATTTTTTTTCTTTTTCTTGCATAATTTCGGTTTCCATCATTCCCTCGTCATGTCCTTTTTTCCATTCTTCGCTTTCTCTTTTCTGTGTCCTGTCTGTCATTTCTTTCCTTCCTCTCCTCCTTCATCTTTTCCGTCAAGTCTTCTTATCCCTTCCCTTTCTCCATCTCCCCTTTCTAGTCTCCCTTTCCCCTTCCCCATCCTCTTTCCTTCCCCCTCCCCCTTCCCACCTTTCTTCATCTCCTCTCACCTTCTCATCTTCCTCCTCCTCCTCCTCCTCCTCTTTCTCCTTCCCTCGCGTCACATTGTTTCATTATTTTTCTCCTTTCGGTGTTGTGGTTGTTAAGCCTCGTGTGTGTGTGGATATCTGAGAAATGCGATCCAAGTTTTTCTTTCTTGAGTTCTTGCTCGAGCTCAAAGTAGAGTGTCAGGATAGTCTCGTTACCCTTTTGCCTGTCCCTCGATTTTTTTTCCTTTCTCTCATTTCCCTTCTTTCTCCTTTCAGCCTTGTTCACCTATTTATCTCTCTTCTTCCCTTTCTCGTTCGCTTTCTCTCTTCTCTCTCTCCTTTCTCTCTCTCTCCCCTCCCCCCCCCCCCCCTCTCTCTCTCTCTCTCTCTCTCCTCTCTCTCTCTCTCTCTCTCTCTCTCTCTCTCTCTCTCTCTCTCTCTCTCTCTCTCTCTCTCTCTCTCTCTCTCTCTCTCCTCTCTCCTCTCCTTCTCTCTCCCTCTCTCCTTCCCTTCCCTCCCTCCCTCTCTCCTTCCCTCCCTCTCCCTCTCTCCTTCCCTCCCTCTCCCCTCTCTCCTTCTCCCTTCCCTCTCTCCTCCCTCCCTCCCTCTCTCCTTCCCTCCATCTCCCTCTCCTTCCCTCCATCTCCCTCTCCTCCCCCTCTCCCCTCTCCCTCTCTCCCTCTCTCCTTCCCTCCCTCTCCTTCTCCCTCTCTCCCTTCGTTAACCTTTTCCCCTGCTCCTTCCCCTTCCCTTCCGCACCCTTGCGTTCCCTTCCCCTCCTTTCCCTTCCCTTCCCTTCCCTTCCCTTCCCTTTCTTATATTACCCTCCCTTCGCCTCCCTTCCCTCTGTCCCTCAGACTTAGCGAAGGCTGGAAGTCGAATTCTAATTTTATTTCTAGGATATTGTGTTACCTGCGTGGGGACAACTTTCACGGTTGGGATTGCATAGCTGGACGAGTCTTGTGCTTTGTTCGGGCACCGGGATGTTCCGAGCTTGGGACCAGTGGGGGAGATGCCCTTCTTGATGTGACGAATTTCGTATTGGTAGCTGTTGTGTTGTCGTTGTTGTTATTTGTTTTGTTGTTTTTGGTATCGCTTTTACTAGTATTGCCATTATTTATGTTATTATTATTGTTATTTGTTTATTATTATTTTTATTATTAGCATTATTATTATTATTGTTTTATTTATCATTATTGTTATTGTGTTTATTATTATTGTTATTGTGTGTATTATTATCTTTATATTGTTGTAGTATTTATTTTTATTTATTCTGCCCTGCATTTAATATAATCCTTCGCGTCAGTCCCCTTGTAACAACCTGCAGATTGCCGCGTCACCATTGTCGCTATGAAGTATGTGAAGGTTACCGTTACTCCTGAGTGTATAATGCGTCTGTTACTGTTGGTGTAACCCTTAACCCCCCTCCCTCTCCTCCCCCCGGTAACTGTCACTGTCACTCTCGCATGATTCGCACTTGCCTGTTCGTTACGCTGTCAAAACTGTCATCTTGCCATGCTTGGCGTTTGACAGTTCCTCGGCAGATCTCGGGAACTCGTTTTGGTTTTCGCTTGTTCGAGTCGCGGAAGAGAGAGAGAGAGAGAGAGAGAGAGAGAGAGAGAGAGAGAGAGAGAGAGAGAGAGAGAGAGAGAGAGAGAGAGAGAGAGAGAAACGGGAATAGGGTGGGGTAAGGGGAGGAAGGGAGGGGGGTTGTTGGTGGATTGGGGGGTTGTGCGTTACTTCATTGAGGAACCTCAGGACTCACGTGAACATTGTTTGACCCGTCTGGGAACACTGCCTCCCTCCTCCCCCCCTCCCCTCCCCTACCTCCCCCCTTATTCAAGCGACGCTCAAGACGTGGGGGTAGGGGGGGTAGAAGGGGGTAAGACTTGCGGCCAAGGTTCCACACCACTGACTCCGTCGCTTCGCTAGGCTCCCTACGCTGCAGCACCCACCCTTCCTCCCTCGCCCCTCTCTCTCTCTCTCTCTCTTCTCTCTCTCTCTCTCTCTCTCTCTCCCTCTCTCCTCTCCTCTCTCTCTCTCTCTCTCTTCTCTCTCTCTCTCTCTCTCTCTCTCTCTCTCTCTCTCTCTCTCTCTCTCTCTCTCTCTCTCTCTCTCTCTCTCTCTCTCTCTCTTCTCTCTCTCTCGCTCTCCTCTCTCCTCTCCTCCATCTCGCTCTCGCTCTCTCTCTCGCTCTCGCTCTCCTCCATTCTCCTCTCTCTCTCTCTCTTCCCCCCTCTCCCTCCCTCTCTCTTTCTCCTCCCTCCCCTCTTCCTCCCTCGCCACTCCCGCTTCAACTCGGCCCGGCTTTTGAACTTCTCTTACCCTTCTTCATGCACCTGCCTCTCAAACCCTCTCTTTGCCTCTCTCTCTCTCTCTCTCTCTCTCTCTCTCTCTCTCTCTCTCTCTCTCTCTCTCTCTCTCTCTCTCTCTCTCTCTCTCTCTCTCTCTCTCTCTCTCTCTCTCTCGTCTTCTCATGCTGCCTCCATTTCCGTGTTTTATCTTTCCTCTCGGTCTTCACAAAAGGTATCGCATTTCGCCTTCTGTTCTTCCAGGATCTTCTTTCACAATGTTTCATTCATTCTCATTAGACCTTCCATTCATAACTTCCGCCTGCTCTCTCTCTCTCTCTCTCTCTCTCTCTCTCTCTCTCTCTCTCTCTCTCTCTCTCTCTCTCTCTCTCTCTCTCTCTCTCTCTCTCTCTCTCTCTGTGTGTGGTATTTTTAGTGTTTGCGTTCTTATACGTCATGTATTTCTTATGTGAACGGCAATGACCCTCGAATTTTCTTCAGTTTTATAAGTTCCTTGAGTAGGCTAGTCCGGTTTTTTTACGCGTTTGTATACGAGATAGGAGTTGTTCATGGTCTTTGTCCAGGCACCCACTTCGTCCAGCACGCCCTCGCTACGGGATTTGTCGTTGTGTGCGACAGGAAGGTGTTCCTCGACGAACAGCTGGGCTCCCGGTTGGTGCTGCTCGTTAACGTCTCTGTTCATGTTTTATGCTCGTCACGCACCTCTGCATATCAAGCGTTCCATCCTTCCCGTTTGAAACTCGTGTATTTCCCCCCTTATTTCTCTCTCTCTCTCTCTCTCTCTCTCTCTCTCTCTCTCCTCTCTCTCTCTCTCTCTCTCTCTCTCTCTCTCTCTCTCTCTCTCTCTCTCTCTCTCTCTCTCTCTCTCTCTCTTCTCGTTCTCTTTCATTTATATTTTTATTCTTATCATAGTGGACTATGCTTTATATCATGTACCATCCCCGTCTCATCACAACGGAAGTCAGTCAGAATGGGTGTGTGCAAGATACGAATGTACTCGTATTTGTTATAAAAACGCGCCGACTGACGCCTTCCGTTAATTTGCGAGTAGCGGAACGAGAGGCGGAGGTACTGTTTCCCGTGGCTGCTCCAAAGTCGTGATAATTTTGCGGAAAATCACAGTTTTCAACTTTTAACTTATCTGCTGTTGGGGAGACTCGTAGCGCTGGCGCAACTGGTTTTCCGGAAGGAATGTAGGTGTATAGGGCTGCGGCTTTTGTGTAGAGGATGTGGGATGGTTGCAAATGTGATCAAACTAGACTTCTTTGGCTGATTTTATTATCTAGGTGCTCAGGTTTTATGAATTGTGCATGTGTGAGAGTGTGTGTGTGTGTCTGTGCCTGTGTGTTTACATTGGGGGGAAGAGTTAAATTATACTCTGTGAATTCATTAGAATTAACTATGAGATAGTTTGTCAAAATAGTAAGACATACTTGTCAGTAGGAGCCAGACTGTAGCACATTTTAATTCCAAAATATACAGTGATCAATTTTGCTTAAGTTATGCTGTGTAAGTTTAGTTTTTGGTGTTATTGGCTTAATTGTCAGAGCTTTGGATTTGGAGAAAAAGGAGATTTTAAAAAGATGGCAGATAGTTATCCAAAATTGTTGATACTTTTTACATATATTTACATGTCTGTGTGTATGTGAATAGGTTTATAAACGTGTTTTTTAGTAATTAGAAATGTTCTTTTTTGTTAATATGTGTTTTTCATTCTTGCAGGAGAGTCGATCTGGTGGTGAGAGTGAGGGTGAAGGCGACTTGGAGGATGTTGTGTCCCCCCAGCAAGAAGATGTGTCGCCCCAGCAGGAGGATGCTCCCCCACACCCTGCACGCCGCCCCATGAATGCTTTCCTCATTTTCTGTAAAAGACATAGAGCTCAGGTGTGTATTAAGAGATAGAAGGTGGTTCTGTTTGCATACATGCGTGTATTTGCACTTGTGTGTATGTCGTTAATATGTGTGCGTATGTGTGTGCGTGCGTGTATATATGTATGTATGTATATGTGTATGTGTGTGTCCATGCATGTGCAGTCTTACCTAGTTTTTCAAATATGGAAGCGAGAGCTGGCCCAAGAAAGACCTGTCTGCTGTATTTAAAATTTTGTCTAACATTTTAAACTTACTTTTGTTCCTGCCACATGCATTGGATTTCTGGAAAGTTGTTCCCCTCTTCAGTAGTTGTAGTTGGAAGCCTAAATATCATTACTTTCTTATTTCTGTGTTTTAGTTATAGTTGTTTTTTGTTAGTTCTTATTCTTCTTCCATGTCTATCGTCACAGTTCCTGAGACATAATTGTTGAGCCTGTTCATGTTGCCCAATTCTGTTCTCTTGCCATTGTAGGAAGCTTTACATTTCTCAGTTTTCATTAATAATTTGTTTCATAACGGATCCATTTACAAGTTTTTTAACTCTAACTCTGTTCTTTTTGCCTACTGGAGATCACAAGTTCTGTTTTTTGAAAATTTAGAAATTGAAATGGAAGTTTTTTGTGAAAGGGTGTGGAAAACCATTTTGTTGATGCAATTTTTTGCCTGTATTTTTTTTTTTTTTTTTTTAGGTAGAAGCATGTGATTTGATTTGTTGACAGAAGACACATAGATCAAGAGTGCTAAGAAACCCTTTTTAAGAATTATAGTATCAGGTTTTTATATGAAAATGATATATGTAGATATATATATTTCTTTTACAAGAAACAAAAGCAAACATCAAATTAATACCTTCTTTATTACCCTATATGTTTGTATGTGGAAGAAAATGAGCCAACATATCTATTAAACTCTACAATGCAATATTTTTTTCAAGTTTACAGAAAAGTCATGTAATACGTACTTTATTCCACATAGTATCTGATATTGAAATACCTGTTGAAATCATGATCCAGCTTTACTACTATTCTTAGCCATCTGTAGCATGGTAGATTTTGAAGAAACTTGCCAAATATTTACTTGTGGCATTGTAAGGTAGATAATAGTATTTTTACATGTAGATGGTCCAATTTTTGCTTCATAAGTATGTATATATAATTTTTACTATGTGTGTGATCCTCAGAAAACCCATAAAGATTTTTTCCCAAATATTCATTACATTGTAATGGTGACATCAAAGGATATAACAAAAGACCAAAGGGTACCAAGTATGCAAAAAACTCCTTAGACATAGAAATTAGCAAAATATTACAAAAAAAAAATGATAATAATAATAATAACTTACCTAAATTAGATTAGTAGATTCAATGAATTTATTGAACATTTTGCTATATGAAGTTCCTCAAAGGTAAATGTTAATGCAAATTTATACATTTCTTCTATATTACATATATGGTTAAGATTATCCTATTCATGTTTGGACTCACTGATAGCATTTGTAAGTTTTGGCCTTCATTTATTCCTCTGGGCTCATGTTCATATATTGTAAGTTCATCTTGTTGTTTCAACATGTTTAATACTGCATCTCTTCTACTGTTTCATGGGTCACTTTTACTTTTAGAATTTCCTTGCCTCTACATGCATTGTTTACCTGAAATTACTGTGCTCATTCATCTTTTATGTACAAATACCTTATTCAAATCTACTCAGACATTTTACAATTGTAGAATCTTAGAAATGCTGTTGTAAAAGCAGGAGATTTACAATGCATGATTTATCATTCTAGGTACCGGAGTGCTTCTTTGTTATCTCATTGTGCTTCTCAGCTAATTCAATCCTTTATGTATATATATTATATATATATATATTATATATATATATATTATATATATATATATATATATATATATATATATTATATATATATATATGTATATATATATATATATATATATATATATATATATATATATATATAATATATATATATATACATATATATATATATATAATATATATATATATATATATATATATATATATATATATAATATATATAATATATATATATATATATATATATATATATATATATATAATATATATATATATATATATATAATATATATATTATATATATATATATATATAATATATATATATATATATATATATGCATATATATATATGTATGTATGTATATATTATATTATCTAATTACACCAGTTGCTGATCCTGGTTTGTAATAGTAAAGATTTGTTTATCATTGCTCTTGTGTAGGGGTGTAATGCAGTGTAGTAAATATAGAAAGAGTTGAGCAAATTCTTATAGATTCTAATGAAAAATATCACTTAGCCCTGCTTTCATTTTATCTAAGGCTTTTAGTTGATCCTTTATTTCTGTTTCCTGAGTATAAGCATGTCAATTTACTAATTCATAGTAACTCTGTTTCAAAGTCAGAGGCTTGAATAAACTGACTCGAATCTTTCATTTAGGATTACACAAGATTTTATTTTTTATTATATTTACTTACATATTGTTGTAACATAAACCCATTCAAGACAGTATTTCCTGACTTCATAAGGATTCATGTTCCGGGCATCATGCACAGTCTGAGGGAAAGATTTAGGAGATAAAAGTTTACCCCACTTTTCATCCTCCTGGCTGCGGCATAAATGATGAGATGGCATCCCTATTTGGGGATGGTCTAGCCATAACCTGATGTCAGCCATGAGCGGGATAAAGTTGTTAAAGAAAATTTAGTTTTTTCCTTTCATTCATTATAGACACTAAATTTTTCTTGAACTCTGGCATTGTTTGATTATACCTGTCTGCTAAATCTGTCTCATACGCAACTTGAAACCTATGTTTACTGAATATTTCCCATAAAATATTTTTTTTCATGCTTTCCTACTTTCTTTTTTTTCTCCCTCTCTCATTTCAGTTTTTAATTTATTACAAATATACTGAGTTCAAAACTACATTCTGGAAGTCAGTAGAACCATCTATATCCTCAAAGAATTTTCTTTCCGTATTCCCATCATTGATAGTGTTTCTCCCATGATAGCCAGTATCTTAGTTTCATTACTATGTGATTGCTTTTTCTTGTGGAGAACCAAATTCCAGATTGTTTATGCCATGCTATGAATCTGTGTATATTGGGTCAATCATTGATGGTAACTTTGTAATGTGTGTGTGTCTATGTCTGTGTGTGTTTTTTATTGGAAGTGATTTGTAAATTGTGGTTTTAAATTTGTTATTTTCAGGTCTAACTTTTAAAAGTAGTTTTTCCTTTTCTTCATCTCTTTGTTGTTCTACATTTTTCTCAGTTATTTGTACTTCTTGTTCATTTCATCACCATTTTAAGTTTATACATTTTGAGAATTAAGTATGTAAAGGTATCAGTAAAGATACATATTACTGTCTTATTATATTAATTGTCTTTCATAGTGATCTTTATAGGTTATGCAAAAATCTAAGCACAGTAATGTGTACACAGATGAAAGAGACACTACCACAATAGAAACTGAATCACATGTAACATTTCTAACTTGTCTAAAGCTCCTTTTTGGATAAAGTGAAAAACAAATTCAATCTCATTGTTACTCCCTTTAAAGAGGAGCTTTATTCAAGCTTAAAACATTACTTGTTGCAGTGTTTCATTTTATGATATCTTGTTTTTACAAGTAATCCTTTAATATCAGAAAAATATATTAATTGTTATATATCTTATATATGAGTCTATTCTTAGTCACTGCATATGATAATCACAATTACATCTCATTTTTATGATATCTAGAGGTTGGCAAGAGGAAGCAGGTGAAATTTGCTAGTGTGAAACATTCTTTAAATGTCTTGTTTGTTGTCATAGCTAGAAGATGAAGTAGTATCACTATTGATAATTACTTAGATATTCTTCTTAGCCTTAGGTGTGTTGCATTTAGGTTTAGTAGGTTGTAGTTAAATGTGTATCAAAAGTTTCTCACTTGTACTATTAGTACTTTTATTTTTCCCTCTGTCTGTGTGTTCATTTGTATTGCAGTATATTATGTTATGTGTTATGATAATGGACTGCTAGAAAATTCATATATTAAGCCAAAGACAGTTCTCTTGAACTTGATATCAGAATGTACACTGACCTAAAATACTGTTACAGGTACGAGAAAAATACCCTCACTTAGAGAACCGTCAGGTGACGAAGATCCTAGGTGAGTGGTGGGCTGACCTCCCAGCCCAGCAGAAGACATCTTACACAGAACTAGCCCGGCAGTACAAGGAAGCATTCCTGCGTGCCAATCCTGACTTCAAGTGGTACAAGATCCCAGCACAGCCCCCCCGACCTCCCCCTGCCAGACCCTCCAATCAGAAGGTCCCCAGGTGTGACCCCCTCCCAACTGATGGTGCCATCACCTTTGGAAAACTTGCCGGTACGTTTGCTGCCTTCTTACCCAGGTTTTCTGAGAAGTACAGGATGTCACTTTGAGTTTAAGCTTTTTGATACATTGCACATATTTCTTGTCACTTCCTCAGCTTGTATTATTTGAGTGTGAAGGTAATATATCACCTTCATGCTTCATGATTTCCAGACAGTGAGTTATATTTGACTCATAACTGTCTTGCTTTAATGGAAAATCATTGTCATTCTGAGAATAAAGAAACCATACATGACACTATGTCTGGATAAGGCATTTTATATACTGTATTTTTCTTGCTTTATTATTCATCCACTTTCATGACTTTTTGAAAAAAAATTCTCAGTGAACAAATATTGGTATCAGAAATGGTAAAGATTAAAAGGACTTTATATTCCTTTTTTCATAAATCAAAAGGGCTAAGAAATTTGCATGATGCACAACTTCAAAGTCAGTACAAATTATCATGTTATTAACGTAAAAATATACCTGACATCTGAGAGTGAGTTTTTCCACATACTTGCCAGTTCCTTTGTAAGCAGTGGATGCATAAATTAGTAACAGGTCTCAATTGCCGTCAAGTTGTCTTGTTTTATAGCCTGTTCTAATTCTTTTGCATTGATTTTCTTGTGATGTACCATTGGGTAGAATTAAGGAAAAATGATAATTATTCTTATTGATACTGTATTATTTTTAAACCCACCACCCTTAGATATATATAGATCTTTAGCACAAGTTAGGATTAGTTTATTACTCCTGTTTTCTTTATTTCAATAGGGATTCATACCAAAAGTTAACTTTCTTGCATTTCAGTATTTTTATAGTTTAGATATTTAAGAAGTAGAATTTGATATTTGAAGCTGCTATTTTGGTTTCATTGAATGAGTTGAAAAAGTATAAAAGTTTACAAAAGTAGGGAGGATATATTTTGTGTTTACTTATGATCCATTATTATTAATAATATTATTGATGAAGAGGATGATGTCAAGAAAGCACTTATATTTAGATACATTGAGAATACCAAACCTTTTTTAGAAATAGAGAAAATTCTTGCATAATTGTATGTTGAAAGGCCAGCAAAGAGTAATGTGTATTTTTTCCCATATTTTCTCAGATGAGGCCCAGATGGGAGGGCTAAGTACTCTCCTGTCAACAGCCTCCACCAGCAGCAGCAGCAATCAGAATATAGCTAGTGGGCCATCCAGCCTTACTACGTTCACCACAGCCTATGTGTCAGCTGCAAACACATCAACAGCTCGCTGCGCTCCTATTGATTCCTTTCCTAGTGTTGCTGCCCTTAGCACATTATCAGATGTGAATTCTGCTACCAGTGGCTCTTCAAATGCAACTGCAAACTCTACCTGTGGGTCCTCTATAAGTACAAACACAAGTGTTACTACAAGTTTGTCCACCTGGAGCGGAACGGTACAACCTTCAGCCGTGGCTCCCAGTGTCTCTCCAGATTCTAATAACCCTGCCATTTCAAACGGACCCAAACCCAGCACAGGCAGTGACCCAGCTGTTGTTACGACTTCTCAAAGCAGTGTACAGTCTTCACTGTCTGAAACTGCCACCAATATGACGCCTCCCAAACCTCCCAAGAAGAGATATGTACATGCTAATATGCTGGACCAACCTGTACCTGTTGTTTCAACGCAAGCACAGATAACACCCAGTCCAGAAAAGGCCAAGGTTAGTTACATCCTACATCAGTTTTCCTTTGTTCTTCTTCCTCTTATATTTCTTTTGTTTTTTTCTTCTTTCATAAATATTTAAAACAAAGTAAAGGAAAACTCCAAACCTAAATAGAAAATAAATATTAACCTATTGGTTGTGGATGGCATGATTTTATGCAAAGTGCAATAGATGGCCTATCCCATGGAGCAGTGGGCAGCTACACAGCCTGGGAGCTAAGCGGGCTAGGGGATGTTAGCTGCTAAGCGGGTGTTCCACTTGCAGCCTTCCAAGACCTAGGCCTGCCATCACGGGCCTTTATGGGCGATGGAGTGTTACCCGCCAAAGGAATTGATCACTTTCGGCGCATGCTAAAACCAGGCCCTCCACTCTTTCTGAGTACATTTACTTATGATGGCGTGCTTGCTTGTATTTGCAAGGGTTTATATATACATACAAAAACATATATGTGTTCATATATAAATACAAACATTTATGCGCGAAGGAGAGAAAGCAGCAACACCACTGTGCGCACTCTCTTATGTGCTTGCTTGTAATTGCAAGGGTTTAAATATACATACATAAACATATATGTGTCCATATATAAATACAAACTTATATGCGCGAAGGAGTGAAAGCAGCAACACCACTGTGCGCACTCTCTTGCGCGGTCACATTTACCGTCCGAGTGTAAAATAAATACTGCTACGATATTACATGCCATATTGCATAATACCACAGACAATGGGTTAAGATCATAGATAGAATGTCAAATATGATTTACATTATGGTTTTTATTTTTATTTATTTATTTATTTATTTATTTATTTATTACCAGCTTAATTTTCTTCAACTTTGCTGTTGGGAGTTTGTATTTTTATAATACAATTTGATTACAGAATTGATAAATTACAATGATAAGTACCTTTTAAAATGTAATTCTAAAGCTATTTGATAAAAGTGTTTAAATCTTAGAGTTAAATTTTTTTTCGCATTTTCACATTTACAGATCAGTTCCACTGAGGAAAATGCAAAATCTTCAGCAAGCTGGACATTTTCACAAGGCAGGCAGAAGCCAGAGGGAGGAGCACCGCCAGCTACAGAAGCCAGCGAGGACCAGCAGAGAAGAGTGAGCAATGGCCCCTTCAGTTCAAGATCTGTGGCAGGGCCTCCTCCAGGAAGCCCTCCTCGGGATGCTAAAGCCTCCCCACAAGAAGCAAATACTCCCTCAGAAGGAACCAAACCCCCACCGATTGGATGTAGCACACCAGCCAATGTCCAGCCTTTAAATTTAACTCGAGAGACTAAACTGTGTACATCAAACCAAGAGATAATTGATAGTGTTGTGGACAGAAAGTGTAGTGAACCAAATTTCCCCAGCAGTGTTCCAAGTGAAACCCGGCCTGGGTATCCTCGCTTCTTCCGACCAGAGAACCTACATAATAACAATAACAATAATAACGATATAGAAAAGCCCTCCTTTCCGCAGGCCATTCTCAACAAAGTGAATGGCACCTATATAAAATTCTGTATGTCACAGGCCATTCACTATGTGGTCGACAAGGCTTACGATAAGGGTAGTAAAGCAAAAGTGACGCCAAAAGGTGACTCTGGGGAAAAGAACCAAAGTGCAGAAACTAATGAGAAAAAAGAAGTTGAAGGTGAGAACCAGGTGAACACTGCAAAGGAATCAGTCGACTCCAATAATAGCAATAATAGTAATCCCAGTGATAATGCCAATCCAACACAGAGAAAGCGATCCAAAGAAAAGGGACCAGAGGAGAATGAGACGTCACCCAAAAAGGCAAGGCTGCTACTCATTTATATTGTTTGTAGTGCAAGTTATAATTACATTATTTATTCTCTAATGAATTTATATATTTGTTTATTTTTTTTGTATATCCACTACCTCCCTCTCAAAGCTCTTAGATATTCACCACCCATCAAAATCAGCTGTTCAGTTTAAGGATTTCCTAACTACATATTTTGAGATAAAGAGATAGGGTGAGAGAAAAATCAGCAACCTATATATTCTTAATATGAATACTGATACCTAGCAAATTAGTCAGGGTTTCATCAACCCCTTCTAGCCCACAACAATCTATCTTGAGGTTGTGACCAACTGGTTGCCTTAGATGTATGTGCTTGAAATATTTCAGATATTCTTGTGGGAAATGTTGCTTTTATATTGATTTTGAAAGGTAAAATTAAAACATCTATTTTCATGTTTGAAAGTCGTTTTATATTATGTTACATGTTATATAAGGAAAAATAACTAATTGCCACATACTTCTTGTTTACTATATTGTATTTTTTCTTGTTATAACCCATTGACAGCAGGAGTGCTTGTACCATATATATCCCCATAGTGGCAGGACTTGATTTATTTGTGATGTGATATTACACAACAGTCTAGATTTCATAGCTCGGTCAAAGCTGTGTACAGGCATCCCACGAGTTGCGAGTCATGACACATCATAGGCTGTTACATCATCATGGCTATAGCCATACATGTCACTAAGGAGATATAAGCTCTATCTCGTGCATTTTTGTTCTATTATTTATTTTATATATAGATGGCTAGTAATTGAATTCCTGCTCTCATCTAATAAGCACTTATAGAGATTCCTTTATGTAAAAGAACTGATAAACCAAGTCATACTGGACAGGGTATGTTTTGATATATAAGGGTTAATGAGATAAAGAATAACATCATATTCTGTCCATAAATTTGATGATTTACCTTTGCTTATATTTGGAAACATGGGACAAGACCTGAATATTAATGAAAGTTGTTTGTATATCTAGACTTTAATATTATTGCCTTGATTAGAATAAATGAGTTATTTTGAATTAAATAAATAGTTAAAGTGTAGTAAATGAAGTTGGCATTAAAACTAGCAATTTTCAACAAGAAACGTAAAAGGGATTTCTCTCATTACTCTTAATATTCTTTTTTTGGAGATATATTCTATTTCTATTGCTTTCTCTTCTCCTTTATTATGTCCATATTTTTTTATGATGTAAATGGGATAGGTAATAAAAATAGGCATGAAAGTGATATTCAATTTTTAAATCCTCAGAGACGGGATGTTCCCTCTGGACGTGCAAGCAGAGAGACCTCCAGAGGCATGGGGGGTGATACCTCAGGAGGGCGTTCAAGAGCACCAAGGAAGCTGAAGGGAAAGCGGTATGAGGAGCTAATTTCTGAGGGAGTCTTACAAGCCCCTCGGAGATCTCGGACAAGAAATAGTCGGTGCGTTCAGTACTTTTTTATTGTTATTATTATTATCATTATCATTAATATTATTGCCCGTATCATTATCATCATCATCAGTATCATTTTCATTATTATTACAGTTACTATTACTATTATTCTTTTTATTAATTTTTAAAATTATTATTGTTATTATTAATAATATTTTTACTATTATTATTATTATTATTTTGCTTATATTATTTTTATTATCATCATCATTGTTATTATTATTATTATTATTTTTATATTTTTTGTTGTTGTTCTTTTGTTGATATTGCTGTTGTTATTGTTACTGTTTCATTCATATTATTGTTTTTGTTATCACTGTCATTTATAACAGTATTATTACCATGTTCTCTGTTGTAATAGCATTGGAATTATTAATCAGTGATCATTGATAACATGATATACATGCCATACCCACAGAAATTTATGTTTGTGAATTGTGTTTACATATAGCAAGGCTCCACAAGTTGTTAGTGCTTCATATATCACCCATTTACTTTTTTTTCTATTATTATTATTTATTTTATTTTATTATTATTATTATTGTTATTATTATTATTTACATAGTATTCTTTTTTATGATCATATTGTCAATAATAATGATAAAGAATCCCTTAAATTCAAAGAATGGGGAAACCAGGTAAGGTCATAGTGACCATCTAATTTTTTTACTCCTTTGTGGCTGAGCACCTTTGGAGGCATCTGATTGCAATATGATTCACAAATAAAAAAATTGTCATCATTCCAATTACCATTCATTTCTCTTATTTTTGATACCATCATATCTTTATCTTCATAGTTTTTACTTATACTTACCACATCTTTACAAGTAAATTAACTTTTTAATGCAGGTGGGAGGAGACAGAATCTAGTTCAGCTCAGGACCAGGAGGATGAGGAGGACATACAGGGGCAGCAGCCAACACAGCAGATTCAGCAGCAGGATCCCGAGGAAGAAGACCATGAGGATGAACCTATGGAAGACGACGATGCGATGAATTCCAAAAACGAGGAAGAGAATGGGTAAGTTTGGTGTGTCTGAGAGTTTATTATGTCATGTGATGAGGAATAAATGTATTATTTGATGGAGTTTGTGTTTTTGAGTAGAGGTTCTATCATGTTAGGTTATTTCAATAGAATATGTATTTATTTTAGGTTGGTTTATTAAGATTGTTATTATTAGGAAGGATTATTGAGATTTTTACTTCATTTGAGGGTAGATTGTTAAGGTGATTATAATTAATTTTGCTCAGGTTATTTAGGTTCATATTAGATAACCAGTTTAAAGTTAGATTGTTTCAATTTTGGGCTTGAGTAGATTAAATTATTGCAAAAAGGAATGGATATTTAATAAATTGTATTCCCTTTCCTTCATTCTCATCTTTCCACCAATAGGGAGGCAGGAGGACGGCGAACTGAAGATGGAGGGAGAAAAAGTCGTCGCCAGTCAAGAAGACTACCACCAAAGTAAGTGGATTGTCCATCCATTTTATTGAAGCATTTGAATTCTAATATGGTTTTATTCTTTTATTGCTGTGTTACAATGCCTTTCTGTAACTAAAAGACCATGTAAAGTTGGACATTTATCATAAGAATTATCCTACATGATTTTAAAAGATTTTTGCTTCCCAGTAACACACATCAAAGATATCAGTATTTATGAAGAAATCTCAGGAAAGAGATTTTTGTGATACATTTTATACTTTGTTTGTAATTGTTGGAATAAGACCGTGATTTCTCTATCCCACAGTGACTTTGACTTAGAGGCAAGGATTGAAGCCCTGCCCTCCTTGAACCTGGACGACTTCACCAGGCGGAAGAAGGAAAAGAAGCGCACTTCCTCTGCCTCCTCATCCTCACACGCAGCATCTCACGCAAATGTGCACTCCACCTCCCACCCAGCCCCACACACGACACGTAAGCAAACATTGTCTCTTTGCAATGGGATTTTTTTTTGATGGGGTGAAATGGAATCTTTCATTAAGATTTTTTTTTACTACTACTACTACTACTACTACTACTACTACTACTACTACTACTACTACTACTACTACTACTACTACTACTACTACTACTACTACTACTACTACTACTACTACTACTACTACTACTACTACTACTACTACTACTACTACTACTACTACTACTACTACTACTACTACTACTACTACTACTACTACTACTACTACTACTATAGAAAAGGATAATGAATTATGTTTACTTTTATATTTTTTTCTTAAGCACTCAAATTCAGTTACATTAGGACAAAAGCATTATCAAGAACAAAATGCAGAATTACAATGTAATTATGGATGCAAGCAAGGTTATTGCTTGTTCTTTCAGTGGATTATCCACTTGACAGCATTTATCATTATTTGCTCTTTGAGTGATGTTATTACTGGTATTATTTCAGTTGCATTTCTTTTGATTAAATGCTTCCCCGTGATGTTTCTCTTATTATATAAATTGTTGTTATTTTGTTGATGTACTTCTCATAGGAAATTAAGTATTATATTTTCCTATGCAGAAGCCACCTTGGGAGTCGTAAGCAGCAGCAGTCGTGTTGCAGCACAGGCTGATTCCACATCAGATCCTCCCCCTTCTGCATCTGCCACATCTACCGCCACTACCACAGTCACCAGTTGGCCCACAGCTGGAGGAGTGACCAGCACCAGTACCAGCAATGGTGGGACCGTAGGAAATACATCTGATGGTGAGGCTGTTTCTCCAACACCATCTTCTTCCTCTTCCACCTCATCTGTCACTCAACAGCATAGTCCCTCTCAGGGTACTCTTCTGGTTGCTGGAGGATCCTTATCACCGGGAGAATCTGGTAGTTCAGAGGGCGGCCCTCGCATAGGTTCACAAAAGAGGAAAGCTCGCAAGCAGACCATCACACGGCATGATCCAGTCAATGGTCCCCTTCGAAGAGGTTTGTTTGGAGTTGATAAATATCTTCTGGATGCTTTCACCTTCTTGATAAGAGGGCTATCATTGCTTGTGCTTTCTTGATTCTTTATTTATTTATTTTTTTCAGCTGTCATATTAGGATCAGTATTTATTGATAAATTACATGCATGTTAAATGATCTTTTAATTAATAATGAATTTTCACTTGAAATTACCTTGAGCTTCTCTTCATTTCAGATACGAGCGTGGTGGAGCCCAGCGTTTTGTCAAGCATGGCAGGTCTTAATGCCTTGGCAGAGGTGGCACTTAGTCAGCCATCCATGAAACTTTGAATAGCTATTTAAAGTGGCAAAAGATATATATTTTAAGTTGAGTAAAAGGAATGTCAGATTATGTATACTGCAAATTAGGATTATATATGATTTTTTCCTTTCTTTCAGAGAATTTTCCTAATAGCCTAGTTGAATAGAAGGAGTGTCAGATTATGTATACTACAAATTAAGATGGTATATGAATTTTCCTTTCTTTCATATAATTTTTCTAATAGCCTACATTCTTAAGAATTGGCTTTAGTTTTGTTCTATGTTACTTATAGAAATTGTATTTTCATGTTTTTTGAATAATAATGTTTTGTCTTTGAAGTTATTCAAAATAGGGTGATTGTAAAGTTATTATTTATGTTACTGCATGTTTCTTTATGTGATCCAAATTGTGATTCGTATTTATATATTTATTTGATTTTTTATTTGATATTTTCACCTTCAGTTGTGGAACATCCATATAAAGTTCATGTTCATTGTGATCTCACATGAGGCTCATGAATTCCCACCAAAACATTTGGGATTCTGTTCAAGCAGTAACTGAACTTTTTAATAGGCTGTGGAGGGGGTAAAGGCACCTTGTACCCAGAACTTCCACAGTCTCTGGGATGCATATCTTGCCTTATTGGCTCTCAGAAGTCTCCCAACCTGTGACCAGTTGATATAGCTGCCAGAGTTAAAGGCAAGAATAAAACAATCATATTACTGATTGAGACATTGATCTAAGAAGCCTCATCTGTAGGTCTTCGACAGCTATTCTTGGTCGAGATGGATGGAAAGAGATATGTAATCATGCGGTATTTACTTGACAACAGCAGCAGGTATGCTCAAGAAGCTGTGTGAACGAAACATAATGTGTGATGGTGACTGTGATTTGTAATGGATAAATTATGTTAAAAATTATACATTTCTCTATTGGGATACTGTTGACTTCTAATAACAAACTTTGATAATTGATAACAAAGGTTTGCCAGTGTGTGCAGAAAGTGACCTTTCCATAACCAATTAGATCATAGTTTCTGACCTTTAAGTGTCTTCTAGCCCTCAAGTAAAGGTATAATAAGTCAGCCTTTGATCTTTATTATTTTATATTACAAGAACACTTGCAATGATGAGTGTGTGTTTTCAGTATTTACTGGTCTTTCACAGAAGAATTTTTGTAATGTAATGAATCTCTTTTTACGTTTCCTTCTTGGCGCTTTATTATGCAAACCACCGAAGTATAACTGATGTAGGCAGAACACTGAGAGGGACATTTTTGACTCTGTTCCCAGATATATGCCATGGCTGCATTTCCTAACACATAAATGAATATTTTTGAACAGTGAATAGTTCAGTCTTGCTACATTACCTAGTTAGGTCCTCTTTTTTTCTCATTTATTAGTAAGTGAGTATCTGAAATGGTAAACTATTTTCTTTATAAAATTTTAAATACTATGTAAAACTCTGAATACATAATCACATCACATTTTGTAGCCTTAACAGTCTAATGTCTATCTAGGAATCATATGATCTAGAACCTAATTAGTATCTCCCCATTTTTTAACTGTTGCCTTTTCCCTCAACATGATAAATCCCCAAGGAACCCCCCTACCTCTGTGAGAGTGTTACAGTCACGATCATCCAAGCTGGCGTGGGGGCTCAAGCTCCTCTTTCTCCTGATGGTTCATCATGGGAAAAACTTCAATGATTTTGTTCCTAATATCCTAGGCATACCCAGAGCCTAGGCTGTCAGCTCGATTGACTCCTCCCCCCCCCCTCTTTTTCCCTCCCATTAAGTTACCTACATATAATGAGCCCCAGCGGTAGCACCTTGGAAGGCTAGTGCTGTAGAGTATACCCAGGTGCCAGTGTAAATCAAATGTCTCCTGCACCCATGTTGAAGATAGCTTGTCTGTGGATTTATAGATATTTTTCATTTGTTAGTGTTTTTAGTGCCTTTTGTTTTCGTTTCTGGAGTTGCCTACAGTACTAAATATTTTGTATCCTCATATTTTCCATATCCACTCATAGGATTGTGGGTATCACTGTATTTTTAGCACCATTTTCTAGAGAAAAAAACACAATTTCTTTTATACAGTTTCCCAGTGTTGATAACCAATGGTATGTAATGTTCTTCATTACTGTATTGATGGAAGATAGTCAGTGTGACAAAATCAAGATTACGACAGCATTGTCAAAGTAGAAGTACTTTACTTAAAATCTTCATTGTCAGACATTTTCCACAAGCAGCCAATTATGAAGAGCTGGCGTATTGTAACTGGTAGAAGTTCA